TTGGCTGATCATCTAAAAGTTATATTTGGAGTAGTTATGTCCCTTTTTCAAATCTATTTTACTGAAAAATAAACATTTTCTATGAGATATCTTTATTGTATTTCACTCAAAGCTGTTGCATACAACATAACAAGTGATTTGTCATAATAATTCTGCTTAAAGTGACATTATGTCCATCCAGGGGTATATAGTGAGTGAACGGGTGAATATCAAAACATGTTTTCATGTTGCCATTATCCCTTTTAATTTAATAATTAAGTTCACATAAACAATAAATAACACACAAATCCAAAAGATATTTCTGTAAATATCCGTTAGAATTTACATATAACGCCGCTTTGTTTATAAAAAGAGTGGGGCAGTCTTTTTAAATTTTAGGGAGATTTATAATTTAATCCTGAAGGTTTTCCAATATCAACTGTTGGTCAAACACCATTTTGACAGTCAATCTTTAGAAATATAAAGTCAATTCAGCTCAATTTGACAATGAAAATATGAGCATAATGTCAATGGAAGCTCATATTTATGTGAAAACTATTTAGAAGTGTTATGCCTTTCATTATCAGATGTATTTATCATTATCCAAAAGACTCATATGAGACTTAATATGAGTAGAACGGTACAACAAACATACAACAACTATCAACTACTTTCAATATCAAACTATCACCCTATCTTCGTAATTACCATGTTATTTTATTGTTGTTTGCTGTAGGTGTTTGATCTGAATGAAGCCTTGTCAAAACACTTTGGAACAGAGAATATTAATGGATTCAGATGTGAAAGGTAAGAATGGGTACAGGTTGGATCATGAAATAAAAAATCATAAAATCAAACTTTTTGAATAATGCAATGTCATTTTATCTGTTCAAAATTTACACAAAAGCATATACTGCAATAACCTAATTGTTATAAAGAAGCATATGAACATGATTTTTATATTATAGTCAAAGGATGATAAAAGTATAACTCAGTATCATATTGGCAATATTATGAAATTTAACAAAAACTATATGAAACAGCTACATCTACAGAGACTTTAATTGATTTATTCTATTGGACCAAGACCAACAGCAGATATCTGGGCCAGGAGTCTTTGAGTGCGGGTTTATTGTTGGTTTTCTTTATTATGTTGGTTCATTTCTGGTGCTAATTTTTTTTCAAATAAGGTTTGAGCCGTCAAGAGAGTTAGAAATAAGGAAAGTATATACATTGTAAGTACATATACATACTTTTTAAGGTGCAACACAGTGACAGCAGCCACAAAAGGATGCCAACTTACTGGTCTTCCAAAGAACTTTATTATCAGTTTGAAAAGGTAAATAATTTATCAAACTTTGTTTACCAGTTTCGGTCCCCTAGGATAAAAAAACTAGGTCACTTATTAAAATAAAATAATAGTTTTGGGTTTTGGATAACTTATCCTAACCAAACGTGGTATATAGAAATTTTATTATACCTTATGTGAAAGTGTTGGGGGAACTTTTGATAAGGGGATTTTTTGTAGATTGTAAATCTAATAATAGACTTTGTCGTACATATTGCTTTTTAGTTTACATTCTTATACCCTTGCCTTGATAATGGCGAAATAACTCTGTCCATGTGTGCGTGCACGTTTTTGTGTCAGGTGCAAAAACATGCTGTTTTTCTCAAATGTCAAGGTCAAAGTTGGCTTTAAGTTTCATGTATATTCCTTATTATTATGGATATAGTGAAAGATGCTTGCCCATTCATGATGTGTTTTCAAGATCATTATCTCAAGATAACAACTCAAACTGGCATTCATTTTTGTGTACAGTGTGATTTATCGGGGGCATCCATGTCATCGGGAAAGATTTAAAGTTTCTGAATTGTTTAACCGACAGGTTTACCAGAAAACGCAGGAAGGACACTAGGCATATCAAGATTCCATTTGAATTAAGACTTCGACCCTACATTGACAGAGATCTAGTAAGTTTCGAAAATTTGGTTCATTTACTAACGAAATCAGTTATAGCAACATTTCAAAGAAGAGATTAATTCATAAATTAAAGTATATTTTATATTGAAACAAACAAAACTAAATAATTAAAAGCAAAAAATTAAGACTAAATAACAACTAAAGCATATTTAGAGCTGTCTTTCTCACCCCGGCGTCGGCGTCTGCGTTCATCCAGATTTGAGATTAAATTTTGTGTGCAGTAAAATATTTTTTGCTATAACTTTTCTATTTCTTAAGTTATCAACTTCAAATATATGTTCCTTATCATCAACCACATCTTATTTGACAAGGTTTATAACTCTAATGCAATATTTTTAGAATGATCTCCCCTTGAACTTAGAAATTTTCTTATAATTTTTTTTTTACTGTAACTTCTTTATTCCGGAATAATCAACTGCAAACTTCAAATATATAGAGGATATTCAAGTTTTTTCTATAAATACATGATTTATTTTCATCGAGTGGTATGAAAATAAATATTTCATGAGTGGCGTAGCCACGAGTTAAATATGGTAATTTTCATGCCACAAGATGAAAATAAATCATGTATTTATAGAAAAAACTTGAATTTTCTGTTTATTATATACATTTTTCTCTTTTTGCGATAAAATTTCAAAGACTTTCCCTTAAATTTTGTGTACTGGCAGAATTTAAAAGAAAGTAGTCCGGTAAGACACCAGTGAAAATACGGAAAATATGTTTCACTGCAGTGAAAAATAAATTTTTACAGTGAAAATACGGAAAATGAAAATACGCATTTTATTTCATCAATATTTTTCAATATTTCATTTATAAGTATATAATAAATGTTCCTTATCATCAACCACATCTTATGGGACAAGGTTTATAACTCAATATTAAATATTTTCCGAATTATCTCCTCTTGAACTTTATATTTTTTAGTGTAACATTTCAAGTTTTGTTAAAAAACTTTCATCTAATTTGCCATTTCTTCAATAATATTGGGAAATTTTGGAATGAAAATGTTGAGTTCGAGAGGTTTTTTGAAAGTTATATCCTGTGATCTCAAAAAATCTAAAATAAGATTTTTTCTACATGGTGAATCAATATTGCAGACTTCTTAGATTACAAATTTTCAAGTCAATATTTTTAGTATCTTAAATTACATTGTAATCAAATAATGGTAACACATGCAAAGAAGAACTATTCCTTTCATAAATTATTAAAGAGATGAATTCAGCAATATCAGTGTAGTATTGTTCAGCCTGTTGTCCTTATATCTTGAAATTTACCTTAATCCAAATTATCATTTCCGGTCAAATATTACATCATTCTTTCTCAAGTAGTCATTTGCCTGCCATTTTCAGGAGCTAGAGGACAAGGCCAGACTCATTGGTATGGTACAGCATTGTGGTGTATCCGTGACAAGCGGCCACTATGTAGCTTATGTGGAAGTTGGAATGAAATGGTTTCGAATAGATGACATGAGGGTAAGTTATAGTGTTTGTGTGCTTTATATACATTATCATTTCAGTCAATGAAGTTGTTGCGTGGAATTTGCCATCTTAAGTTTCTCAACACCAATCAGTTTTAATACATGCTAGTGCATCTTCCATGTGAACATGTTAAAATAACTCAAGTACATTACCATTTAAATATGTGATAACCGGTCATATAATTAATAACTTCCCTGTGATAAACGGTTATTTATGTAAAACTTATATTAGCATATTTACATCATAATTATGTATTTTTTTCTTTTTTTGCAGATATCAAATATTACAAACAATGCCTTGAGTAATGAGGCTTCATCTTCGTACATATATTTTTATAAGACACTGCCAAGGCCTTACATAAACTGACAAGAATTTAATTCAAGGAGTGATTCCACAAAACATGATTCGGCGATACAGCAAAAAGTACTGTGGTTGCTATGGCAACAAATAGACTCAAAATATGGCTAATTTAACACATAAACTGGACCAAGTGATAAAGAAAAAAGTACTGAAAATATTTTTATGAAACTCGGAATATTGGTAGATGGCAGTCTACAGATTATGCACATCTTGTTCTGTTCTTCCTTTGTTGAAAAATGTCTTGCTATGGCAACAAATATACTGAAAATAGGCCTAAAATATGTAAAATATATAGAGGATATTAAATGAGTGTAGTTTAATACTAAATTTATTGAACGAGTTGAATAAAATCATATTATGCGAGCCTCTGGCGAGCATAATGTTGTTTTTTTTTCAACGAGTTCAATAAATTTAATATTGAAACTACACGAATATAATATTCTTTTTATCACATATATAAAATAAGAACGGTAAACTGTTTTTTGAGTCATTTTATTTTTGACGCACCTATAGTGTAACGCTAACATTAGCGCGCTTTAACGCTATGTTCATAAAATGATATAGCGCAAATGACGTCACGTTTATGGCGCCGCGGTTTATGTGATAAAACAACATTTGTCATTACACAAAAGGTAGTGAAAACATTTTTATGAAACTTAAAATATGCATAGATGGCAGAATGGAGATGATACAAATTATTTTAATCTTTATTCTACGGAGTATTTATGGAGCTTTCCTACGCACCAAGCGTTGGCAATCTCGTCAATATTTCTGATTCAAGTTTCACGCTTTTCACAATAAATTATTTATTTCATAAGGTACTAACTTCAAACTTCAAATATATGTTTCTAATCATCAACCACATCATATGTGACAAGTTTTACAATCTAGCACAAAATATCATAATTACCTCCCTTGAACTGAGAATTTTCATGACAAATATGATATTTTTTAGAACTTCTTTATTTCTTTATGTATCTACTTCACACTTCATATATATCTGTCTTACTGTATTATCACTCAAATAATTTTGGAGAAGGTACTGTAGATGGACTATTTTCAGACTTATGTCTCCCTTGATCTTGAATTTTTTAGAACTATAGATTTTTTCTATAAATATATCTTACTTGAATTTCTTCATTTCTTTTAGCATTTTCTTCAAACTCCCACATCATAATAATATGACAATGGTTATAAATCTAGTGTATTGTCTCCTCTGTTAATGATATTTTATTGAAACTTTATATTTTTTACATGAATAGAGACTATTAAGAGAAAGTGCACAGATTTACAAATGTAAAATAGACTATAACTTTTTCTACCGATAAAACTTACATAAATTTGCAGTTATAAATTTAGTTTTACAGGTGATAAAGATACATATCCTCAATTATACTGATACAACATAGATTTATTGACTGATATAAGTCATATTTGGTATTTAGATTTATACAATGGGCGTTCCTGTATTTGTGGTGTTAAGACACTAATGAAAAAGATATTTTAACTGTCCTTGTACAGCCTCCATTTGTTGGTAAATGTGTGGTGCAAATATGCAGCTTTTGGGAGCATAATTTGCCCTCAATGATATTTTTTGAAACTCATGTTAGTTAGAAATTATATCAAACTCATGATTAATATGTTGTATTTTACTTGTTTCTTAGGTGAGTGTACCAGGGCAACCATGATGCTCTTGTTTAATCAGTATTCTCCTTTAATTCATAAGTCATATAACTATGCATCTTCAGGCCAACACTTCCAAAGTGTAAAGAATTGTCAACATTAAAATCTCTAATCTTTCTGATAGTGTTATAACAATGCCTACTGAAAATTTGTTTTTTAAGTGGTGTAACCATTACTGTTGACATTACTTGATATTGCAATCGGTTGTCGAACCTAGCCAGTTTGATAATTTTTTAGACATTTTACTTTAAAATATTTCTAACCAGGATATTCATACTCGATAACAACTGTAATAACAATCTTATTCCCAAAAGTTAAATAAGAACTAATGATTTTGATAAATGGTCTTGTCGCTGTTTAGGAATATTATTTAATCTTCTTAAGATTTTGAGTTTCTGCTATATGCGTATACCATGTTTCGTTAAGTTTAATGCATAAAAATTCTTGGCGTTTAACGTTGAATCGTAAACTGAATGAAACGATTTTAAAACTGCTGGAAAAGATTTAACCCTTGAAGTAAATTAAAAATTATTTTTTAATGTTAAATATGGGCAGGGGGCCCAAAAAAGATGAAAGTTTTTTTAAAATTTTAAAAGTCTTTTAAGAATTATTTCAAAATAATTAAATGGGGAAAAATTTAAATTTAAAACAATTTAACAACCATCCGTATATTTTCTGTAAAAAAAACAATTTTTCAAAATTCAGCAAACTTTAAAATGTAAGGGACAGTAATAAAAGGAAAAGAAACCCTGGAACATTTAATTTTCCCAAAGAACAAATAAATTTCATTTAATAGTTTTTCATTTTTTCCAAAATACTTTAATGCCCACAAATCCCCGCTGGGCCTTTTTACAGAATCTCGGGTTTCTTTATTTTTTTTATTTTAAAAATTTCTGGTTTAAATTTTTTTCAATTCCCAAACGCCGATTTTTTCAAAATTCAAAATTCTCTAAATTGGCCCCCGTGGTTCGGGGCGAATTTTCAGAAATTTCCCAAAAATCTTTTAGTCCAAATTTTTGAAAAATTGATTTGTTAAAAATGACCAACAAAAATGCCGAGTTCGCCAAAAATTAAAAAAAGGTTCCTTTGAATAAAATGGGATTGTTCTCTTAAACCCAACCCAAGAAACCAAAAGATGCCAGAACCCCTTTTAATGTTTATTTTAATTTTTTTCCCAAATTTTTCCCTTCGTTAAAAAGATTGAAATATCATTATTTTAAAAAATTTTTTTTATTAACGCTTTTTAATTTTTTTAATTACTGTAAAAAACTTACTTTTTCTTTCTTCCCCTTTTTTTAATTTTTTTAAGTATTTTTTTAAAAAATCTGGCTAAGGGATTCTTAACCCCTTTCCCTTTTTAAAAATTTTTTCAAATTTTTCCCGTTTCTTGGGGTTCTGTTTATGTTGTTTTTTTTTTTTTAAATTTTAAAGTTTTTAAAAAGGGTTACAAGGATTAAAAAAAGGCCCTGAAAAACAATTTTTTTTTTTTAAACCCCGAAAAAGTTTAAATTTTTTTGAATCTTTGTTTTAAAAAATTTTTAACTATATGCTTTTTTTTTCATAAAAATTTTTCCCGATGGATTTAAATTTTTTTTCTCCCTGCTTTAAAAAATTTTTTTGACCCAAAAAAGGGAATAGTTGAAATTTTATTTATAAAATTTTTAATTTAAAAATTTTGGCCATTTTTTTAAAAGTTAAACCTTTTAAACCCAAAAGGGTTTAAAAGAAATTTTTTAAGTTTTTTGGGTTAAAAAAAGGAAATTAAACCCATTATTCATTCGCAAAATTTTCAACCTTTTTCAAAATTGGGAAAGACTTTTTTCAAACTTAACCCAAATTTTTCTTTGGAAATTTCTTCAACTTTTGCTATTGTTTTTCAAAAAAATTTGGAAACTGTTAAATTTTAAACATTTTGTTATTTTTTGGAAAACCTTTTTTTGATTCAACGGAAAATTTTTTAGCCCTCAGGGCTTTCGGGAAATTTTTCAAAAAAAAACAGAACCCGTGTTTTTAAGCACATGTGGGGACACAATTGGGAAAAATTTTTGAAAATATTTTTTTTTGGGGGAATTTTTCCCCTTTGTCTTTTTTAAATTTTGCTGGTAAATTATTTTTTTAAATTTAACATTTTTTTAAAAAAGTCTTTAAGCTTTAAATAAAAAATTTTAAAATTTTTTAAATGAAAGGAAAATTTTTGCTTTTGATTTTACTTTAAATAAACTCAGTTATTTTTGTCAAACCCAAAATTTTATTCCCCAAATTCATGCTTGATCCTATAATACATGCATATGTTTGGTGAAAAATTATCTGTTTTAAAATCTTTTTTTGCCCCATAAAAAATTTGTTCCCCTTCATATGGGTTTAAGGTAAAATTTTTGTTGTACGCTGTAAAACCCTTTTGTTTAAACCATTTGATCCCCCCCGATTTTTTTGCCCTTAGTCAAAACTGCAATTTTTTCCCCTTGATATTTTTAATAGGGATTCCTGTTTACATCTATACCAAAACCGTAGTAAGAAAAAAGGAAAAAACCCCTTTTAAAGTTTTTAGTAAATTTTTCTTTTAAACCTTTGATTTTCCCCTTTTAAAAAAGTTTTGAATTTTTTTCTTAATTTTTAGTATAAAAACCCCTTTTTAAATTGTTTTATCCCCCCGGCCCTCAATTGATTCCCTTTTTAAATTTTTTGATAGTATATTTCCAAATTGTAAACTATTTTATCCCCCAAGCCCCAAAATTTTTTTTCCTCTTTGTTTTGCTTTTTAAAAAAATGTTTCTGTTTTTTAAATTCATATGAATTCCCCCAACCCCCCATCTTTAAATTTAATATTTAAATTTTTTAAAAAAAATAATTCCCGTTTTACATCTGTATGATTCCTTGTAAAACCCCTTTTTTTTCCCCGTTATATGTTTGAAAAAGTATGGTTTTCTGTTTACATCTTTTTTTGATCCCCTTGTTTCCCTTTGATCCCCCCTTATTTTAAAAGTATTTTTTTTTTTTGGGACACTGTCTTTATCCCTGTCCCCCCCTTTGATTTCCCCTTTTTTTTTTTTTGATAGTATTTCTCAGTTTTTAAAATTTTTTGATCCCCAAGTAAAATCAAAATTTTTTAAACTTCTTTATGGCTTTATATAGTTTTTGGGTTTTAAATTCTAGATCCCCTTTTCAATCAATTGATCTCCTCTTAAAAATTTTTTGGGAAAAAAGAAAAATTTTTATCCGTTGTACATTTTGTAGATTTTCCTTTTAAAACCCATTTGATTCCCCTTTTTTAGTTTGATAAATTTTAATTTCTGATTGTACTTTATTTTTTTAAATTTGTCCTTTCATTTTTATCCCTTTAAAATTATTAAAAAGTATAGTTCCCTTTTTTACAACTGTCTGTCCCCTCGTCTTTTATTCGATCCCCCTTTTTTATTTTGATAGTTTTCTCAGTTGTAAAAATTTTTTGAAAACCCCAAATTTCTAATTTTTATCCTCTTTGTATCCCTTTTAAAAATTTAAAGTTTTCTGTTGTAAAATTTAAAATGATCCCCCATCCATTAATTGATTCTTCCCTCTTAAATTTTTTTAGAAAAATTCTCCGTTGTAACCCCTTTTATGATCTCCTTGTAAACCCATTTGATTTCCCCGTTATATGTTTGGGTAGTATTTTTCTCTGTTTTACTTAAAATTTTTCCCTTTGTCCCCTTCATTTTATTTCTTAATTTTTTTATAAATATATTTTTCCCCTTTTTACTCTGTTGATCCCCCCTCCCCATTGGGTTCCCCCTTTTTTATTTTTTATAAATATAAATTTTATTTTACATTTTTTTGAAACCCCAAAATACATAATTTTTATCCCACCTTTTTTTGATTTTTATAAGTTTTTTGTTGTAAAAATTTATATTTTCGATTTACTTCCATTAAAATTTATTCCCCCTTAAATTTTTGAATTTGAATTTTTCTCCGGTTTACACTTGTTGAAACTTTCCCTTTTACACCCCCCTTTGATTCCCCGTTATTAAAAGTTTGGGTAGAAGTTTTTGTTGTACATCTGTTTTATCCCTAGTCCTTTTTTATTGATTTCCCCTCTTAATTTTTTAAATAAACTTTTCCCTTTTTACATCCCGTCTGATCCCTCGTCATCATTCGATCCCTTTTTTTTTTTGGGTAAGTAAAAATTCTCAGTTGTAAAAATTATTTTAAAACCCCCAAATAATCAATTTTATCCTCCTCTTGTATGCTTTTTATAAAGTTGTTTTGTTGGGAATTCATATTTTTCCCTTAAACCCTTAATTGATCTTTGGGAAAAATTTTGAAAAATTTTTCCCTTGTTTGTATGGGTTTCCCCTTTTACCCATTTTGATTCCTGTTATATTTTTTGATAGTATGTTCTCTGTTGTACATTATTTGGGTCCCCTTTTCCTTCCCCTTTGGGTCCCCCTAAATTTTTTGGTATATTTTTCTTTAAAATTTTTAAAAACTGGTTTTTACTTTTATCTGATAATTTTTCAAGAAAACTTTTAAAAAAGTTTAAAAAAATTTTAAAGGGCCCCCGGTCAAACTTGTGATTCCTTATAATTTTTTAATGAATTTGTTTTATTTGTACATCAAGGGGGTTTTTTCCCTTTTTAAATTTTTGTGATCACCGATATCTGTTCCAAAAAAAAACATAGTATATGTTTTAAAAATCGATGACCCCTTGTCAAAGTGATCCCCCTTAAATCTTTCAATGAAAATTAAAAGAAATGTTAAAATTAGATGATCCCCTGGTCCCGCTTCCTTATCCCCCCATATTTGTTCCAAAAAATGAAAGAATAAAATGTAAGGTAAAATTTACCCCCTTGTCATTTTCTGTGATTTCCCCTTTAATTTTTATTTAAATGGATACTTTAAAAAAAGTAAATTTAAATTTTAGGGGTTGAACCCCCTTTTTACCCTTTTGGGGATCTCCCTGTAAAAGTTTATAATTAAAAAAGAATTTTAAAAATTTTTTAGATGTTTTTTCAAATAGAATGTGTTTCATTTTAAAAGATCCCTGGCAACCCATTAAAATATAAAATAAT